TAAGCAATTCTCCTACCTCAGCCTCCCAAGTAGCTGGGATTACAGGCATGTGCCACCATACCCTGCTAATTTTTGTATTTTTAGTAGAGATGAGGTTTCTCCATGTTGGTCAGGCTGTCTTGAACTCCCAACCTGATGAACCTGATGTGATCTGCCCACCTTGGCCTCCCAAAGTGCTTGGATTACAGGCGTGAGCCACCACGGCCAGCCTATTTTTTTATTTTTATTTTTGAGGTGGAGTCTCGTTCTGTTGCCCAGCGTGCTGGAGTGCAATGGTGCAGTCTCAGCTCACTGCGACCTCCGCCTCCCGAGTTCAAGCGATTCTCTTGCCTCAGCCTTCCAAGTAGCTGGGATTACAGGTGCCTACCACCATGCCTAGCTAATTTTTGTATTTTTAGTAGTGACAGTGTTTCGCAAAGTTGGCCAGGCTGGTCTTGAACTCCTGACCTCAGGTGATCCGCCATCCTTGGCCTCCCAAAGTGCTGGGATTACAGGCATGAGCCGCCGTGCACAGGCTGGGAAACATTTTTAATTTTAAAATTTATTCTTATTTTTAAATTTTTAGATTCAGGGGTACATATGCGGATTTGTTACAAGGGTACAATGTGTGATGCTGAGAGTTTGAGCTTCTATTGATCCTGTCACCCAGATAGTGAACTTAATACCCAATAGGAAGTTTTTCAGCCCTTGCCCCCTCTCTGCTTCCTGCCTTTGGAAGTCTCCAGTGTCTATTGTTCCTATCTTTATGTTCGTGTGTACTCAGTGCTTAACGCCCACTTATAAATGAGAACATACGTTATTTGAGTTTGTTTCTGGTGTTAATTTGCTTAGGATAATGGCTGCTGGCTGCATCCATGTCACTGTAAAGTATATGATTTCATTAATTTTTTTTTAAACTGAATCTCCCTCTGTTGCCCAGGCTGGAGTGCAGTGGCACGATCTCAGCTCACTGTAGCCTCTTCTTCCCAGGTTCAAGCAATTCTCCTGCCTCAGCCTCCCCGGTAGCTGGGATTACAGGCATGTGCCACCATGCTCAGTTAAGTTTTGTTGGCATAAGCCAACTGTACCGGCCTTAATTTCTTGTTATAGGTCTATTCCCATTTTTTATTCCTTCAGTCAGATTCAGTAGTGTGTGTCATCTCATGTAGGTTATCTAATTTTTTTTGCATAAAATGGTTTATATTATTTTCTTATCCTTTTTATTTCTTTAAGATCAGTAGTAATGTTTTCTCTTTCATTCTGATTTTAATAATTTGAGTCTTCTCTTTTTTTTATTATTATTATTTTATTTATTTATTTTTGAGACGGAGTTTCGCTCGTTACCCAGGCTGGAGTGCAATGGTGCGATCTCGGCTCACCGCAACCTCCACCTCCTGGGTTTAGGCAACTCTCCTGCCTCAGCCTCCCGAGTAGCCAGGATTACAGGCATGTGCCACCACGCCCAGCTAATTTTTTGTATTTTTAGTAGAGACGGGGTTTCACCATGTTGACCGGTATGGTCTTGATCTCTTGACCTTGTGATCCACCCGCCTCGGCCTCCCAAAGTGCTGGGATTACAGGCTTGAGCCACTGTGCCCGGCCCTTTATTATTTTTTTTAAAGACAGGGTTTCACCATGTTGGTCAGGCTGGTCTTGAACTCCCGACCTCAGGTGATCTGCCTGCCTTGGCCTCCAAAGTGCTTGGATTACAGGTGTGAGCCACCACACCCGGCCGATTCTTCTCTGTTTTTTTCCACTGGTAGTCTAGTTAAAAGTTTGTTAATTTTGTTGATATTTTCAAATAACAAAGTTTTTTTTTTTTGAGACGGAGTCTTGCTCTGTTGCTCAGACTGGAGTGCAGTGGTGCAATCTCGGCTCACTGCAACCTCTGTCTCCCAAGTTCAAGCAATTCCTGTTTTAGCCTCCTGAGTAGCTGGGACTACAGGCGGGTACCACCATGGCCAGCTAATTTTTGTATTTTAGTAGAGATGGGGTTTCACCATGTTGGCCAGGATGGTCTTAAACTCCCTACCTCAAGTTATCCAGCCGCCTTGGCCTCCCAGAGTGCTGGCATGACAGGCGTGAGCCACCATGCCTGACATGGTTTTTTTTTTTTTTTGAGACAGGGTCTCACCCTGTTGCCCAGGCTGGCATGCAGTGGCACAATCATAGCTTACTGCAACCTCAACCACCTGGCCTCAAGCGATTCTCCTGCCTTACTGTCCCATGTAGCTGGGACCACAGTCACACACCACCACACCCGGCTAAGTCTAAAAAATCTTTTGTGCCGGGCACGGTGGCTCACGCCTGTAATCCCAGCACTTTGGGAGGCCAAGGCAGGTGGATCATGAGGTCAAGAGATCGAGACCATCCTGGTCAACATGGTGAAACCCCGTCTCTACTAAAAATGCAAAAAATTAGCTGAGCATGGTGGCGTACGCCTGTAATCCCAGCTACTTGGGAGGCTGAGGCAGGAGAATTGCCTGACCCCAGAAGGTGGAGGTTGCAGTGAGCTGAGGTCGTGCCATTGTACTCCAGCCTGGGTAACAAGAGTGAAACTCCGTCTCAAAAAAAAAATCTTTTGTACAGACAAGGTCTCACTTTGTTGCCTAGGCTGATCTTGAACTCCTAAGCTCAAGCAATCCTCCCTCTTTGGTTTTCTTAAGTGCTGGTGTTACAGATGTGAGCCATCACGTTTCCAGGGTTTGTTGTTGTTTGTTTGCTTAGTGACTATTCTGAACTAATTTTGTAAGGCTTGTGTTCTTCGCCATGTGTGGCCGGTGAAGTTCTCCTGGGTTAGCTTAATTGTTAGCTAATGTTTGGACAGATTTCTGTAAATACTTGGAACCAATAAACATCCCAATCTTCAATGTGGGACATGTGTTGCTTTTTCCTGTTCTAGTCCCTACCAAAGCTCAGTTTGTTATACCCAAGGGAGTTAGATGGAACAGCGCCATGCTCTGAGTTTGAAATTAAGAGTCCTTTATTAATTAGCTGGTGACCGAGAGACAGCTAACACTCAAAATTCTCTCAGCCCTGAGGAAGGGGCTGGATTCCTTTTTATACCTTGCTTAAGGTAGGGGAGAGGGAGCCTAGCTGGAGCAGAATTTACAGAAGCACAACAAGCATGTTAGATAAGGAGGCTGGTAACTAAGAGGCAGGAAGTTCTTATGATTGTTGATTTTCTTTTTTTTTTTTGAGACGGAGTTTTGCTCATTACCCAGGCTGGAGTGCAATGGCGTGATCTCGGCTTACCGCAACCTCCGCCTCCTGGGTTCAGGCAATTCTCCTGCCTCAGCCTCCTCAGTAGCTGGGACTACAGGCGTGCGCCACCATGCCCAACTAATTTTTGTATTTTTAGTAGAGACGGGGTTTCACCATGTTGACCAGGATGGTCTCGATCTCTTGACCTCGTGATCCACCTGCCTCGGCCTCCCAGAGTGTTGGGATTACAGGCGTGAGCCACGGCGCCTGGCCTGATTGTTGATTTTCAAGGAGGTTATACACAAGTGGTTCCCATGATTGCTGGTTACCAAGGTGGGTATTCGGTACTTGTCATATAATCAATCAAGGGGGTCATTCACAATGGCAAGTGGGCTTGCCAAGCAGGATATAGTTACAAAGGTTATATGTTTCTATAGTTCTAAGTACAGTATAACCCAGCACAGTAGCAAGACCTAGGTATGCACTTAAGGGAGAAGTGGCAGAAGGGGTGAGGTGGAGGTTAAGATGGAGTCTGTCTGGCTCTCAGCAAAATGGAATCTGTCTGGCTAACACAGGTAGGTTAGCACAAATTTGGCTACTGGATTTCTTCTTATAAATACAGGCCATTCAGTCTTTCCTACTTGTCCACTTGCCTTCTTGCTTGCCTTTTTAACTAGGATCACTGGCTACCAGGACTCTGAGTTGGGCTCTGCCCATCCCTTGGGATGCCACACTGATTCTTGGGGCTTGGATGTCAACCATGTCCAAACTGCTTGGTTGTGGTGATTTGTTTGTTCAGGCCTAGTGGGCATCAGTTATTTGATGACCTGAATACTGCATGGAGATAATGGTCACACAAATACCTAGAACATTTACTAACCTGATGGTGGATATGCTGGGGGAAGTCCTATGGATACCATGGGGATTCTTTGGCCATTATCCCTAGGTACTCCCATGAGTGAGTAGGAGATCATTGTGTCCACCTGGCTGGAGTTGTGACTTGCTGGGGCTCATAGGGAGTGAATGTGGGGGTTAGTACCAGGGGTGAATGCCTTTTCTCTTCTGGACCCCCAGAATCCATGGGCATGAGCTTCTGGGCTGTGTGACAGGTGTCTGCTGAGATTACAATGGAACAAAGCAGAACAGTCTTGTCTCCAACTAAGAACTAGAGAATCTCAGTTCTCCAGGAGATAGAAGGTTTTCCTCCATTTTTATGATGTGATTTTGAAGAAACCCCCTTTTTCTTTCTTTCCTGAGTCTGTTTGAGTATCTCCAGAGTTGGGGACCTTACCCTTTTCATTTCCACACAGTGTGACCCATGTTGAATAGGGGTTTTAGACTTTTCTTTCTTGTGTTCATCTCAGATCTTTCTCCCTTTGCTTCTCTTCACTGGTTCCAGTGTTATTCTTGGATATTTCTTGGGAGTCTTTCACTGCCTGCCCTTTGTTTAGGGATAGGTGGGATATTCTTTGATGGGGTAGGCTTCTGCTAAGACCAGTAAGTGAGGAAAATTTCCGGGTGGCCACATCCTGGATGATTATCTTCTTTCTGGCTAGGCCCCAAACAGTTCATTCATTCCAGGCCCAAACATCTCCAAGTTCCCTGAGAAGTGCAGCTAATTGAGGGTAGCTCACTCTGGCTCCTGTTTGCCATACTTGGGTGGGGAGGATAGCACTATATGTCCCAAAAGCCATGGTTTGTTGTTGGTAATAGGGTGACCGGCTAAGCAGTTCTTATTAGGTGTGTGATGAAAATCCTCCTTCATGCCCAGAGCCTACATGTTCAGGACTGACAAGTGTCCTCTGATTCCTCTGCAGGAGCTGATCGACCTCAAGATGATTCAGTGCAAGAGAGTTGTCAATGGTGAGTACAGATCTGGCTCCAGAATTATGCATATGACCTGCTGGGCTTAAGCAGCACTACCACTGCCCTTGCCTGGGGTGACGGTATCTTGCCTGGCTTCATTGAGTAATTTTGTAGATCACATGTTCCCTTGAGAGCCGTCACTGCTTTCCAGAGGCCATGACAAAAAGCTAGATGTGAAACAGGCTAAGAGTGCCTTTCACTCACAGGCATGCTGGGATAGAAATCACCATGTATCATAGCACAGGAAGGACTCTAGGAGCCTTGCAGTCAGGATGGCTTTAGCATTGGCCCTAGTTTGGCCACTTGCTCGGTGTATAACCTTGGGCAAGCCATATGCCCTCTGTCTGCCTCAGTTCCTTTAACTGTAAAATGAAATCATAGTCATTGCTTTACTTAAATCATAGGGTTGGAGTGAGGACCAAGTAAGTACTGTGAACACCCTATGCTCTGTGCAAATATGATTGTGACAAGTTGTAATTTTGCTGATACTTTATTGATGAGGCTGATTCTGCTTTGATTAGAGTTGTAGTATATTCCTTGAGGTTTTTGATACATATGTATATGCTTGTGAAATATTTTTTTTTTGAGATGGAGTCTTCCTTTGTTGCCCAGGCTGGAGTTAGTGGGGTAATCTCAGTTCACTGCAACCTCCGTCTCCTGGGTTAAAGCGATTCTCCTGCCTCAGCCTCCCATGTAGCTGGGAACCACAGGTGCCCGCCATCACAACTGACTAATTATTATATTTTTAGTAGAGATGGGGTTTCACCATGTTGGCCAGGCTGGTTTTGAACTCCTGACCTCAGGTGATCTGCCCACCTCAGCCTCCCAAAGTGCTGGGATTACAGGTCTGAGCCACTGCGCCTGGCCTGCTCGTGAAATATTTTCTTTTGACGTGGAGTCTCACTCTGTCACCCAGGCTGGAGTGCAATGGCACGATCTCAGCTCACTGCAGTCTCCGTCTCCTGGGTTCAAGCAATTCTTCTGCCTCAGCCTCCTGAGTAGCTGTGACTACAGTTGTGTGTCACCATGCCCAGCTAATTTTTGTATTTTTAGTAGAGCTAATTTTTGTATTTTTAGTAGTATTTTTAGTATGTCACCATATTGGCCAGGCTGATCTTGAACTTCTGACCTTGTGATCTACCTTTGTCGGCCTCCCAAAGTGCTGGGATTACAGACGTGAACCACCATGCCTGGCCAAAATCTTAATGGTAGTTTCATTAGAAGTTATGGCACAATTTTGTTGATTTTTTTTTTTTTTCCTTGAGACAGAGTCTCACTTTGTTGCCCAGGCTGGAGTGCAATGGCATGGTCCTGGGTCACTGCAACCTCCGCCTCCCAGGTTCAAGCAATTCTCCTGCTTCGGTCTCCCAAGTAGCTGGGACTACAGGCACTCAAAACCACACCTGGCTAATTTTTGTATTTTTAGTAGAGACAGGGTTTCATCCTGTTGGCCAGGCTGGTCTTGAACTCCTGACTTTGTGATCCACCCACCTCAGCCTCCCAAAGTGCTAGGATTATAGACGTGAGCCACTACACCCAGCCAAATTACTTTAAATGTATATATTTTTTCTGTGTGATAAAAAAGTCAATATTTTAGATCTGTGTAACCTAGAAAATAAAAATCCTCCGTAATCCTACACCTAAAGAGGTAATCAGAAAGAGGAATAATGTGTGTTTTTCTATACATATAGTAAGTAATGCGTATGTACAAAATATGACATGTTTATGTATATCCCTCTTCTAGATTGAGGTAGTGTTTGGATAAGGAGAAAAAAAAGTGTGTGTGTGTATATATATATCTCCCCACCCCATGAGATCATACAACACATGTTGTTTTGCCATTTACTTTTCTATTAGGATATCTGCCCATGTCAGTACCTATAGGCGACTATGTCAGAATTGATTTTACTAGAACCTTAACAGGGGTTCCCGGTATTTTGCTGTTATAAACAGAGTTGCATGATAAACACACAAAGATTTTGTGGTTACTTCTTTTTTTTTTTTTTTTTTTGAGACGGAGTTTCGCTCTCGTTACCCAGGCTGGAGTGCAATGGCGCAATCTCGGCTCACTGCTCCCTCTGCCTCCTGGGTTCAGGCAGTTCTCCTGCCTCAGCCTCCCGAGTAGCTGGGATTACAGGCGTGCGCCACAACGCCCAGCTAATTTTTTTTGTATTTTTAGTAGAGACGGGGTTTCACCATGTTGACCAGGATGGTCTCGATCTCTTGACCTCGTGATCCACCCGCCTCGGCCTCCCAAAGTGCTGGGATTACAGGCTTGAGCCACCGCGCCCAGCCTTTGTGGTTACTTCTTATTGCCAGTCATGAGCTGTTTCTGTCAGTGATCACTTTGATTACCTCTCTCAACATGTCATCACCTTTACCCCACCCTTCTAAACTTTCTAATCTATTGAATGCTGGGATGTTAGTAACAGTTTCCATGTATGGAAATGCTTAAAGTGCATCAATGATCTCATTTATTTCTCAAGACAGCCTTTGAGAGAGGCAGCCTTCTCCCTTCTGCTGTGTTCAGTCTCTTTCATGTCTAGTTATCTTTAAAAGCTAATAATGGTAGCATCTATTGTGGAGCTTCTTTGGGAAGCTGACAGATAAAATACAGTCACTCCTTGTTATATGCAGTTGTTATTTCTATAAAGGTGTTATGAACATTGAATGAGTGGATACTGAACCAGTGACCCTGGGGGAAATATATGGTTAGATTTGTGCAAACCTTTGGTCATATTTTCATCAACTCATCAATCCATAACCTTGTTTTATGTGTGTTTTTTTGTTTTTCTTTGGTTGCTTTTTTGCGACCAGGTCTCACTCTGTTGCCCAGGCTGGAGTGTAGTTGTGTGACCATAGCTCACTGCAGCCTCAAACTCGTGGGCTCAAATGATCCTCCTGCCTCAGCCTCCCAAGTAGCTGGGACTTTAGGTGCACACCTTCATGGCTGGCCAATTTTTTTTTTTTGTAGACAGAGTCTTGCTCTGTTGCCCAGGCTGGAGTGCAGTGGCGCCATCTCGGCTCACTGTAACCTCCCGGGTTCAAGTGATTCCCCTGCCTCAGCCTCTTGAGTAGCTAGGATTGCAGGCACCCTCCACCATGCCCAGCCAATTTTTGTGTTTTTAATAGAGATGGGGTTTTGCCATGTTGGCTAGACTGGTTTCGAACTCCTAACCTCAAGTGATCCACTCATCTTGGCCTCCCAAAGTGCTGGAATTATAGGCGTGAGCCACTGTGCCCAGCTATGTATGTACATTTTGTTTCCAAAAAAAATTTTTTTTTTCCTGAGACAGAGTCTTGCTCTGTTGCCTAGCAAGACGGAGTCTTGCTCTATATTGCCCAACCTCTGCCTCCCAGGTTCAAGTGATTCTCCTGCCTCAGCCTCCTGAGTAGCTGGGATTACAGGCATACCCTACCACACCTGGCTAATTTTTGTATTCTTAGTAGAGACAGGGTTTTACCATGTTGGCCAGGCTGATCTCGAACTCTTGACCTCGTGATCCACCTGCCTCGGCCTCCCAAAGTGCTGGGATTACAGGTGTTAGCCACCACACCTGGCCCTGTTTCAACATTTTAAGCATTGCAAAATGTTAACCACCATTCAGAAAAAGTGCATTAAACACAAACATGCAGTTTAACAAATAATTGCAAAATGAACAACCATCACCCAAGTCAAAAAATAGACCATCCTTATCATCACAGAAGCCTCCCATGTGTATAGTATTTTTGGTAAGAATGGTATGCATTTAGGATCTCTTTCCCCTCCAAGCTAACACTCTGGCTATGTTTTCTTCCTGGGCTTAGGCTAGGGTTGAACTTCCATCTTCACTGAGTGGCCCTTTGTGTTGTGTTTTCTTGCAGAGGTGCTCAGCACAGTGGACTTTGTTGCTCCTGATGATCGAGTTGTCTTCCGCACTTGTGAAAGAGAGCAGAACAGGGTCGTCTTCCAGATGGTGAGAGACCCCATTGCTGCATGTCCTCCTGAGGCTCATCATCCCCTGGGATTTCTCAACTCATCCCCTGTGCCATGCCAGTGTTGAATGGCTGGGCTACATTGCACAACCGTGGCTTCCTGAAGACTCCACTTTAATGGTTTCCAAAGGGCCAGTCATGAGTGATTACACTATTGGAGACAGTTAAAGGAAATCAAACTATCAGTCTTATATGCCTCTAGTCTCAAATTTAATTTACTTACTTGTAGGAATTGTCTGTTTGGCCTGATTTCTCCATTTTTTTAATCCCTAGCATTGATTACTCAGATCATAGTCTTTGTTTTTATGTAGCGTATGTATATTTCTCTTAGAAAGAAATTAGGATTCCTCAAGAGTAGTTAAGATTTGTGTTTGAGTTGTGATGACTCTATAGTGCTCTTCTCTCACTTTGGGCATTTCTTGGTGCTTTTTCAGAAACATCCTGAATGATGTTTAGCTTTCTAAAAAATTGATAACAGCCAGATGCAGTGGCTCGTGCCTGTAGTCCCAGCTACTCAGGACGCTAAGGTGGGAGGATTACTTGAGCCCAGGAGTTCTGGGCTGTAGTGCCCTATGCCAATCGGGTGTCCACACTAAGTTCGGCATCAATATGGTGACCTCCCAGGTGTGGGGGACCACCAGGTTGCCTAAGGAGGGGTGAACTGGCCCAGATCAATGGAGCAGGTCAAAACTCCCATGCTGATCAGTAGTGGGATCGTGCCTGTGAATAGCCACTGCACTCCAGCCTGGGCAACATAGCGAGACCCCATCTCTAGAAAAGAAAAGGGAAAATTATTAAAAAAAAAAAAAAAAAGAAAAAGAATTGATAACGGGCAAACATGTGATAAAGCAAATCTAGCAAAACGTTAATTGTAGCATCTAAATGGTGGGCATTTGAATTGTCACTATCAAATGTTTTAAAGTTTTTGATATGTTTGAAAGTAATCATAGTATTGATAACATTTTCTAGACCCTCAAAGTTTACCTTTTTCTTCTGGCAGTGGGCTGCCCATTTAAGAGAAAGCCAGACTGACTCTTGTGTTTGTGTGTGTGTGTGTGTGTGTATGTGCACTGCATGAGTGTGTTTGTCAATGTATGTGTACGTGTGTCGGGACAGTGATTGATGCAACTTTTTGTATTCCCAGGGGACTTCAGACGCAGAGCGAGCCCTTGCTGTGGCCAGGCTTGTGTAAGTTTCTCCTCCATCTTTTTTTGAGATAGATTTTTGCTCTGTAGCCTAGGCTGGAGTACAGTGGCGCAGTTTCAGCTCACTGCAACCTCCGCCTCCAGGGTCCCAGTTCAAGCAATTCTCCTACCTCAGCCTCCCAAATAGCTGGGATTACAGGCATGAGCCACCATGCCCAGCTAATTTTTATATTTTTTAGTAGAGACGGGGTTTCACCACATTTGCCAGTCTGGTCTTGAACTCCTGACCTCGTGATCTGCCCTCCTCGGCCTCCCGAAGTGCTGGGATTACAGGCATGAGCCACCATACCCAGCCCCTCCTCCATCTTTAACACTGCCTTTGTCTCTCCTTTGAATTGTGAGGCTTTAATGTCTAGGTGACTTTGGAGGTGACCCACCCTTCTGCCTTCTAGCCCATTACCTTCTATTTTCAGATTAAGAGTGTCTGGTTTCCCTCTGTTTATGGCATGCAAGGGCTGGCCTGGGACTCACGTGTACCCACAGTGCCTAGATCCCAGAGACCTTCTGTGGATATTGGGGGGAGCTGTTTTTTTGTAGTTATTTGAAACTCCCTTTTTAGGGATTCCCATGACTATGAGTTCTGAAGCTTTAAGTATCAAAGTATAGGTAAAACATATTGCTTCCTGAATAACAAAGACAGGAAGCCTGGGAAACATAGGCAGACCTCATCTCTACAAAAATGGTGGCACATGCCAGTGGTCCCAGCTACTTGGAAGGCTGACGTGGAAGGATCACTTGGGCCCAGGAGGTGGAGGCTGCAGTGAGCCCTCATTGCGCCCCTGTACTCCAGCCTGGGGAACAGAGTGAGAACTTTGAAAAACAAAAACAAAGGCAGGAGCGTGCTATAGTTAATGCTATAGGTTTTGAAATTAAGACAGACCAGGTTTGGAATTTTGGTTTTGCTACTTGTTAACTGTGTGACCTGAGGTAAGTTACTTAATCTCACTGAGAATTTTCTATAAAACAATGCTACCAACCTCTGGAATAGGGAAAAGTAAATGAAATAATGCATCTAAATGTCTTTGTAGCACGTGGCACATAGTGAGATCTTAGTAAGTGTTAGCTACTGTTCCAATTACAAAGAGAGTAAGAGGGAACTCAGGCAGTTACTGCTGCTGATCACAGACTATTAACTAGGTATTAATATTTAGGTTAATATTAGGTATTAATATTTTTGCCATTGAAAGTAATGGCAAAAACCCCAATTACTTTTGCACCAACCAAATGCATACCAGAGGATGGAGTGAGGATTCTTTTTCTATCTGAAAATTGTTTGGATTAAACCATCTGTGCAGCCCAGCCAACAAAGGCAGTGATATAACTTCCACTTGAAGCTGTAGTCTGGGAAAGGGCTCTTAGGCTCATGTCACTTTTCTGCATTGACAATGGCTTTTGCTATCTCAGCCAAGTTCAGTGTGCCTATCTGAGTTATCCAACACGACTCCAAAGCAGCAAAGTCCTCTCTGCATCTAGCCTTTTATAGATGTGTGCATACATTATATCTTTTCTCTGGTTCTCTGCTCAGATGAGACAGTTGTACATTTTAGGGACAGGTTTTTTCAGCTTCTGTCATTGGGGCTTGGTATTTTTTTTTTTTTTTTTTTTTTTGAGACAGTGTCTCAATTTGTCGTCCTGGCTGGAGTGCAATGGCATGATCTCGGCTCACTGCAACCTCCGCCTCCCAGATTCAAGCGATTCTTCTGCCTCAGCTTCCCGAGTAGCTGGGATTACAGGCATGTACTACCATGCCCAACTAATATTTTGTATTTTTAGTAGAGATGTGGTTTCACCATGTTGGTCAGGCTGGTCTCAAACTCCTGACCTTGTGATCTGCTGCCTTGGCCTCCCAAAGTGTTGCGATTACAGGCATGAGCCACTGTGCCCAGCCTTGCAGGGTTAGTGTGGTTCATAAGGTCAGGGACAGGGTAAGAGGTTCATGAGCATAGACCCTTTGCCTTTAATTCCACATCTATGCCTTTAATTCCACCTTCTTTCCTCTAATTCAGTATTTATTACCTTTACTCCTTCATCTTTTTCCAGAGAAAATGATGTGGCTGGTATTGATGTCAACATGGGCTGTCCAAAAGAATATTCCACCAAGGTAAACTGATTTCTTTATACTTCTCATGAATGTAGGATGCAGATGAAGAGGCTAATAAGACATAACAACTAAGTATAATACCTAACTCTGGACTGGATTCTATACGAGATGGGGAAAATGCTCAAAAAGTTTAGATTATTAGATGAACTGGCAAAATTAGAATAGGAACCATAGTATATTAGCTAAATATACTGTATCAGTGTAACCTTATGAAGATAACTCTTCTGTGGTTATGTAACAGAATATATTTATTCTTAAAGAATACACACTGAGGTAGGATACAGTGGCTCACACCTGTAATCCCAGCACTTTGGGAGGCTTAGGCAGGCGGATCACAAGGTCAGGAGTTCAAGACCAGCCTGGCCAACATGATGAAACCCCATCTCTACTAAAGGTACAAAAAATTAACTGGGCGTTGTAACAGATGCCTGTAATCTCAGCTACTCGGGAGGCTGAGGCAGGAGAATCACTTGAACCTGGAAGGCGGAAGTTGCAGTGGGCTGAGATCACACCATTGCACTACAGCCTAGGCAACAGGGCAAGACTTCATCTAAAAAAAAAAAATAAGAATACACAAGAATACACACTGAAATATTTAGGAGTAAAGGGATATGGTACATATAATTTACCCTCAAGTGGTTTATACATATACACACACTCATATATTATAAACATACAAATACACATATGTTCATACATAGATTATATATTTTATTATATCTTATATAAATAATATATACTATGTCATTATATATTATGTAATATGTAGGTGTATTATTACATATGATATATAATATATAATTACGTATATTATTTATATAATTGTATATATTTGTGTGTGTCTATGTATGTGTGTGTATATATATGTATATGCATATATATATGGAGAGAAAGAGAGAGAGAGAGAGAGAGAATTCATGCCCAAGTAATAAAACAATGCAAAAGTACAGAGAAAAGGCTGGGTGCGGTGGCTCACGCCTGTAATCCCAGCACTTTGGGAGGCTGAGATGGGTGGATCATGAGGTCAGGAGTTCAAGACCAGCCTGGCCAACATGGTGAAACCCCGTCTCTATTTAAAAAAAAAAAAAAAAGTACAGAGAAAAATAGAGTGGACAGGGCTCTGTCTTTTCATGAATAAAACTGAGACACATATCGCAGAGAGCCCAGAGGAGGATTGAAAAAAAAGGAAAACATCTGAGACATACATTAAAACAAAAGAGATGGATGGGGTTTTGTATGTAGCAGAGCAGCTCCCTCTCTGCGATCTATTGAAAGTCAGCCCTCGACACATTTTATATTTAAAAAAACAAAAACAAAACAAAAGAGAGGATGCTGGGTGCAGTGGCTCACACATGTAATCTTAGCATTTTGGGAGGCTGATGGAGGAGGCTCACTTGAGCCCAGGAGTTTGAGACCAGCCTGGACAACAAAGTGAGACCTTGTCTGTACAAATTTTTAAAAGTTAAAAAAAGCAAAAAAGGCTGGGCATGGGGGCTCATGCCTGTTATCCCAGCATTTTGGGAGGCTGAGGTGGGCAGATCATTTGAGGTCAGGAGTTTGAGAACAGCCTGGCCAACATAGTGAAACCCTGTCTCTACTAAAAATACAAAAAATTAGCCGGGTATGGTGGTGTGTACCTGTAATCCCAACTACTTGGGAGGCTGAAGCAGGAGAATTGCTTGAACCTGGGTGGAGGTTGCAGTGAACCAAGATCATGCCACTGCCCTCCAGCCTGGGTGACAAGAATGAAACACTGTCTCAAAAAAAAAAAAAAAAAAAGTGAATGCAATGCAAATGTTCCCATTGTCGTATCAGAAGAGATCAGACTATGGTAGCCCAGAGAAGGGAGAGGAAAGGTAGCCCTTAAACTTGGAATTTTTTTTTTTGAGGTAGAGTTTCACTCTTGTTGCACAGGCTGGAGTGCAATGGCATAATCTCAGCTCACCTCAACCTGTGCCTCCTGGGTTCAAGCGATTCTCCTGCCTCAGCCTCCCGAGTAGCTGGGATTATAGGCATGTGCTACCATACCCAGCTAGTTTTGTATTTTTAGTAGAGGTGGGGTTTCTCCATGTTGATCAGGCTGGCCTTGAACTCCTGACCTCAGGTGATTCACCCTCCTTGGTCTCCCAAAGTGCTGGGATTACAGGTATGAGCCACTGCACCCAGCCTAAATTTGGAATTTTATAGGGAAATGTGGTCCTTGGGCTGAGATTTGGGACCCTGTAATCAGAGGGTGTGGCATAAGCAGGGCCCTGGGGATGAATATGAGGTAGACACATGGAGGCGTGAGTACCTTGATTTGATCAGAGGTTTATCTAGTGGCAGTCAATGAAGAAGCAGAGGAGTGTAGGATTGAAAACCTTGGTGGGTAACGATCATCTGGACTTGTACTTTAGGTACTGTTGGTCTTTTTTTTGAGAAGGAGTCTTGCTCTTGTTGCCCAGGTTGGAGTGCAATGGTGTGATCTTGGCTCACTGAAACCTCCGTCTTCTGGGTTCAAGCGACTCTCCTGCCTCAGCCTCCTGAGTAGCTGGGACTACAGCCACCCGCCACCACGCCTGGCTAATATTTTTTTGTATTTTCAGTAGAGACAGAGTTTCACCATGTTGGCCAGGCTGGTCTCTAAACGTCTGACCTCGATCGTGATCCGCCCACCTTGAGCTCCCGAAGTGCTGGGGTTACAGATGTGAGTCACTGCGCCTGGCCTATTTTGCTCTTTTCTGATTACTTCTTTGTGTTCCTAAATTATGTGAGGAGCAGAGTTAAATTGATTTGGAGGCAGGGCACGGTAGCTTGCACCTGTAATCCCAGCACTTTTCCCAGCACTTTGGAGGGCCGAAGCGGGTGGATCACTTGAGATCAGGAGTTTGAGACCAGCCTAACTAATAGGTAAAATCCCTACTAAAAATACAGAAATTAGCTGAGCATGGTGGTGCATCCCTGTAATCTCAGATACTTGGGAGGCTGAGGTAGTAGAATCACTTGAACCCAGGAAACAGAGTTTGCAGAGAACCAAGATTACGCCATTGCACTCCAGCCTGGGTGACAAAGTGAGACTTTGTCTAAAAAAAAAAGATTTGAAATGATCTCCCTGATATATTGTAGAGTGAAAAAAGCTAGGAGCAGAATTATATACTACCTTGTCTATATGGTACTATACCATTTATATAAGGAGGATGGGGAATGAATATATATATTTATTTGTTTATTCAGGGAAGATTTTTGGAGAGACACACAAGAAACTAGTAACATTGGTTTCCTCTGGGGAAGAAACGAAAGTTTTTATTTGGTTATGCATAGATAGTAAATTCCCATTACAGGGGTGCTACTGAAAATAACTGGCACAGCACTGGCACTGATCAGTCAGAAGAGATACCAACCAGTATGCCATGCATGTATATACTAGCTGAATATCTGCTGTGTTCCCATGGTTCGACAATTGAAGCCAGATTAAAAAGTATAGATTGAGGTTGGTTGCGGCGGCTCATGCCTGTAATACCCACACTTTGGGAGGCTGAGGCAGGTGGATCCTGAGGTCAGGAGTTCAAAACCAGCCTGGCCAAAAGGATGAAACCCTTTATCTACCAAAAAATATAAAAATTAGCCAGGTGTGGTGGCATGCACGTGTAGTCCCAGCTACTTGGGAGGCTGAAACAGGAGAATTGCATGAACCTGGGAGGTTGCAATGAGCCAAGATCACATAACTGCACTCCAGCCTGGGCCACAGAGTAAGAACCTGTCTCACACACACAAAGAAAGTGTAGATTGAAAAGTCTCCCATTCCTTAGGGTGGGAGACTTCTTATTCATTACCCATTTGAATTACATTTTGAATGTTTTACTTATTAAAAAAGCAAGTTAAATAGAAAGGAAGGAAGGAAGGAAATTTCATTGTTGAGAAAGTCATTATTGTGGAAGGGGCAGTGAAACTGAATTTTAGATCCTGTGATTCTATAAGGAAGGGCTGGATAAGTGTGAGTGGAAGGACAGATGGAGCCAGAGGGAGTGCCAGGGCTTCCTCAAGGCCTTCAAGGTTTCTTTTATGACCATTGTAATCCAGGATTGGTGGATTTTCCAGTCTACCCATTCTTCTTTAAAATCCAGGCTCAGCTTAGCTGAGTCTGTGGTGGTTTAATGTCCTCTCTGATTCCAATTTGTCACCTTAAACGTGAACTTAAAGTGTAATAACTGAACTTAAAACTTCTGAGCACATTCTGTGAGCATTTGTTAGTGTATTATCTTTATACTGGCAGTATACATTTATTGGACTTGGTTTTTTTGCCTTCATCTCACTCCTAGTGGATTCAGATTTTTAAAGATCCCCCTCCCCCATTATAAAAGTAATTACTACCATTGTCCAGAACTTGGAAAATATAGACAAGTACAGGAAAGAGCAGGAAAATCACCAGTAACTCACCATAAAGAGCAACCACCATTGCTATTATCAAGATTCTAGTGGTTGTGTGGGTTGGTGGTTTCCATTTCCTGGGCTTTTGTTAGAGTTGGGCATGGGTCTGGGCTGGGACGTTGTTGCTGGCAGAAGAGAAAGGCCTAGATAAAGTTTGTAAGTTGTGTGCATCTTAGTGGCTTTGCTGGTGGTGGTGATGCCTAGGCAAGCAGTGGGTATGACAGGAAGAAGGCGCATTTGATCTTATTTCAAAGGAAGAGTGATTCGTTGTGTTTTTAAGGGCTTGGGAGATGGTGGGATTTAGTGTATTAAGACATGGAGGCCTGGGTTAGGGAGTGGGCAGTCTTGAAAAATAAGTTTTATATAGCCCACTTCTACATATCTGTGGGTTTTACCAAGGGGGTCAGAATTATGACTTTTTTTGTTTGAGATGGAGTCTTGCTCTGTCACGCAGGCTGGGGTAGAGTGTATAATCTCATCTCGCTGCAGCCTCTGCCTCCTGGGTTCAAGCAATTCTTCTGCCTCAACCTTCTGAGTAGCTGGGAATACAGGAGCACACCACCACACTCCAGTAATGTTTGTATTTTCAGTAGAGACAGGGTTTTACCTACCATATTGGCCAGGTTGGTCTCGAACTCCTGACCTCATGTGATGGGCCTGACTCAGCCTCCCAAAGTGCTAGAATTACAGATGTGAGCCACCATGCCCAGCTTATAAATTTTAAAAGTCATCACTCTTGGTCATCCAGCCTGGCCAACATGGTGAAACCCCATCTCTACTAAAAATACCAAAAAAAAAAAAAAAAAAAATTAGCCAGGTGTGGTGGTGCATGCCTGTAGTCTTAGCTATTTGGGAGGCTGAGGCAGGAGAATCACTTGAACCTGGGAGGTAGAGGTTGCAGTAAGCCGAGATTGCACCACTGCACTCCAGCCTGGATGACAGAGTGAGACTCTGTCTCAAAAAAAAAAAAATTGTCACACTTCAGTCCCAGATGTTATGGGCACAGATACTGCTGCCTTCCTACTTGTTTAAAGAAGTGCCAGTTGCCAGTGGGCCTTGGTGCCTTGGTGCCTTGGAGGTGAGTGCCTTGGTAGTACCCAGTTGCCACACCCCATCCCATGGAGAGGGCCATGCTGTCTCCCAGCTGTAAAAGACCTTTTGTGTTTCTCCTTAGGGAGGAATGGGAGCTGCTCTGCTGTCAGACCCTGACAAGATTGAGAAGGTAAGTCCTACATGGGTGAAAACAGGGCCTCAAACACAGCTCCAAACTACAGTTGGTACAGTTCCACCAATACCAGATTTACTGATGTTCACCCAGTTTCTCTACCTGTGACCTAGTAATTTCCAAAAAATCTTCCCAGTGATTTCGACGTGCAGCCCAGTTTGGAAACCCCTGAGCCAGCCCACAGCAAGCTTGAAGTTCCTAAAAGGCCCAGAGCTAGGGACATGTCAACGAAGAGCCAGGGGTCCAGAGGACTCAGAACCTCCTGTCTTCCTTCAGGGAAGGTCTTGAGAGCAGAGGCCAGGCCACCTGTGGTGAGGACAGGCTCAGTGGCCCTGTGTGTTTGTATGTATGTGGGTGGATTGGCCTCTCCCAGGGGGCTTGATGAGAACAGGAGTGGGTCTCCTGTGTCCTGACAAGAGTCTAACCCAGCCCTTGGAGAGCAGGCCAGATCAGCGTCAGATGAGGCAAGCTGAAGTTAATCTCTTTGTTCCCCTTTCTTTGTTGATTCTGTAGGCTAGCTTAATGAGGCCCTGGGGCATTTACTACCTGGCATTGTGAGCTGTCAGGGTGTGTGTCAGTGACATTCTCTGCCATGCCATCCATATCCTTTGTGTTCCTCTCCCAGTCTGCCAACTCTTTCCTTTTAGCTTCTTTGTTTTCCTTTTCATTCTCTCTTGCTACTTGCCTGTCTGGGCTTTAAGCCTCATCCTGCTTCCCAGGCTAGAGTGACTTGAGACTCAGGCACCACCAATGAGAGCTGGCATTGGTGCTGGGTGCCGTGTCAGCAGCTCAACCCTGCATGTTCCTCCAGTCCTGCAGGCTCTGGGGCATAGGAAGACCACTATGCTTGCTGGCTTGGTGCCTTCTCATTTTTCCCATGTGTAGCCAGAGATACTATATCTGTAGTGTACCTGTATAATGTGCCTTTCTTTTTTTTTTTGAGACAGAGTCTTGCTCTGTCGCCCAGGCTGGAGTACAGTGGCATGATCTCAGCTCACTGCAACCTCTGCCTTCAGGGTTCAAGTGATTCTGCTGTGTCAGCCTCCTGAGTAGCTGGGATTAGAGGCACACACCATGATTCCTGGCTAATTTTTGTATTTTTAGTAGAGACAGAGTTTCGCCATGTTGGCCAGGCTGGTCTTGAACTGCTGACCTCAGGTGATCCCACCCGCTTCGGCCTCCCAAAGTGCTGGGATTACAGGTGTGAGCCACTGCACCTGGCCACAATGTGCCTTTCATTTGATCCTGAAACCCCTCAAAGTAAACAGGATTGGCATTTATCTCCATTTGATCAAGAACAATAAAGCACAGAGAGAGAAAATAATTTAAGATTATATAGTAAATAAGTGTCAAGCATAGCCAGCTTGTGAGCCATAGTCTTTTCTGACTTCTAGTGTTAGCACCCTCTTCAGTAGCATTTCAGGTTAAAGGTACCTGGGTGTAGTTCATAAGCATCAGGTCAATAGGCACCTCAACTTGGAAATCTCCTGTTAGACACTTCTGTGCAGGGTGGAGTAGAAGTAGACATCGTGGATGTCAAATTGGTTTCCACACTTAGGAGAGGGGGCCCCAGCAGGGAGGATGTGGTTCACAACATGAGCACACAGGCATTTTGTTATTCTCCAGTCTCCTCTCTTCTCAGACCCAGGCTGTTGGCTCTCTCCTCTCTACTGCCCCACTTTGAATGAGGCAAATTTCATCCATGTGGCAGCAGAGCTACACTCAACCTCAGAAGCTTAGGTCATTCCACTACTCCTCTGTTTGGGTATTTAGATGATCCAGGTTGGACTGATAGATGGGGTTTTCCCCATGGTGGGGAGGTTGCATGCTTCCACAATGGAGCCAGATGTGGCTTAGGTGTAGGGTCTGGATTCAGTTCAGGTCCAGACTGTGCTGGCAAATTGGGTGACCTGGGTGAGAGCTTTGTGGGTCCTTCCAGGCTTGGTGTTTTAGGCCCATGGTTCCATCTATGGGAGTATCTCAGGACCACCACTAGAAATTTTCTCAAAGATTCTTGTTTGAGGTTATGAAAAACCTTAGAAATACATAATGTTGGCAGTTGTACAACATTGTAAATGTAATTAATGCCACTAAATATACACTTAAAAATGTTTAAGATGGCAAATTTCATACTATTAATTTTACCCCAGTTATAAACAAAGGATGCTATCTGTTGAGAATTCTGCAGACTCTTGGGTGAATAGGGGTGGAGAGTGGGATATCAATCTCTTTGAGAAAGCTTCTACCAGGTAACTCTGGTAAATGCTCCCTGAATTAAGAATCTCCATTTTATTTTTATTATTTGAGAGGGAGTCTCACTCTGCCGCCCAGGCTGGAGTGCAGTGGTGTGATCTCAGCTCACTGAAACCTCCACCTCCTGGGTTCAAGTGATTCTCTTACCTCAGTCTCCAAGTAGCTGGGATTACAGGCATGCACCACAATGCCCAGCTAATTTTTGTATTTTTAGTAGATAGAGGGTTTCACCATGTTGTTCAGGCTGGCTTCGAACTCCTGACCTCAGATGATCCTTCTGCCTTGGCCAAAGTGCTGGGATTACAGATGTGCTCAGGGCATCCCCCTTGTGTACACTGGGCCATGGCTGACAATTGGCAGGGCAAGGACTTGAACTCAGGTCTCACTGCTTTCCAGGCCTATACTTTCTCATCTGCTACTTCCCAGAAACTAGGGGAGCGAAGGAATCTGATTTTCTTCAGTTAGCCAGTGGGTCTATTGAGGCAGGCCCGCTTGTAGGTAGATGTGCCGTTCCTCTGCTCATATATGGACCTGTCTCTCATTCTTTCTTCCCAAAGACTTGGATCTGGAGAGCTGGTATTCAGGAGAGTTTCATGCTAGAGCCTGGCCAGTAGACAGTCTCTAGTTGCCATTTCCCCTCAGTGTGACCCTTGCAAGTGGCTAGGGTTTTGGTTACCTAATTTCCTTCCTAGTCCTTAACACACACGAAACACACAGAAATACTGAAGAGAGTGCTTAGAGCTACTTGGATAAAATACGGCAAAAGGAAGTTCTACAAGATAGAGAATTGGCAGACCAGCTGGTGTTGCTTAAATTGACAAATGTCAGAGAATTCTAAGTGAGCACTTGTAAAGTAACCTTTCAGAGATGTTGCTTTGAGCATGAAGGATGGGATTAAAATGAGAATTTTTATAGTATTTCTTGATGAAACTAGTAGTCCCCCCCTTAAAAAGTAAGTGCCTCTTTAAGGCCTGCCAGGGTGACCCTAAGACCTCAGGCCCAGTCTGCCTCCTGGGGCAGCACCTGGGGACTGTTCCTTCCTAGTAGTTCCTGGCAGTGGGGCCAGCAGGTCCTGTCTTGCTCATGAGCTGTCCACCTGTCTGTCAGCCCAGCCTCTTGGTCTGATGTCTTCTGGCATGGCCTGCCTCAGCCTGTCCCTGAAAGGCCTCCGTTACTGGTTTTTGCAACCTGACTCTCTGCTGCCCCCGCCTGTCTAGAATTAAAACTGGCAGCAGCCACTTAAATATCCCCCTGCTCTGCTAGACAGAGATCCAGTTCTTGGAAGAGGGTTCTTGGGATCATCTTTCTTCCAGCTTGCCTGGCCTGAAATTTTTGATGAGGAAAGAAGATAGCAATGCCACAGCCATGCAGTGTCATCTACACCTCTCTGTCTCTGATTCTTGTATGGTCTCATCTTGCTACCTCCCTGTTACTTTCTTGCATGACATCTTGATCTTTCTTTGAAATCTTTTGCAATTGCTATGTGATAAGCTCTTTTAAATATGTTGGGTACATTTCTTTTCCTTTGCCAATTTCACTCATGTATATCTGACTCCCCTAAAGAAGAATGCAGGCTCTTAGGAGCCTTCCTGTTCCCTCACCCTGCAAGTCCTGGAACAACACTCAGCGAACATTGTTTTCACCCAGGAAAGAAGCTGTTTGGCCGGGTGTAGTGGCTCACGCCTGTAATCCAAGCACTTTGGAGGCCAAGGCAGGCGGATCACCTGAGGTCAGGAGTTCCAAGACCTGTCTGACCAACATGGTGAAACCCACCCCATCTTAAAAAAAAAGAAGCTGTTTGCCCTTTCCTTCTTTCTTTCTTTCTTTCTTTTTTTTTAAATAGAAACATGATGGACCCTGTACAGTGGCTCATGCCTGTAATCCCAGGACTTTGAGAGGCTGAAGCAGGTGGATCACTTGAGCTCAGGAGTTTGAGACCAGCCTGGCCAACATGGTGGTCCCAGCTACTCTGGAGGCTGAGGTGGGAGGATGGCTTGAGCTTGGGAGGCAGAGGTTACAGTGAGCCAAGATTGTGCCACTGTACTCCAGCCTGGGCAACAGAGCCAGACCCTGTCTCAAAACAAAGCAAATAAACAAACAAAAAGGGAACAGGGTCTTGCTGTGTCGCCCAGGCTGGTCTCAAAATTCTGACTTCAAGCAATCTTCCCACCTTAGCCCCTCAAAGTGTTGGGATTACAGGTGTGAACCACCACACCCAGTCAGCTATGTGTTATTTTTTTCATTTTCAGCCATGTGTTCTTAACTAAGACTAGGTCAGAATGATACCGAGGATGGGATGGAGTGTGTTGGGCAGAGCCTTTTGAGAACACACATTCCTAAGCCCTGCCCCTAGATACTGATTCAGGAAATAACATGTGGAATTCAAGAGTTTGTATTTCTTCAGCTCTCCATATAATTCCGGTATTTGTCCAGGCAAAGGCTCACTGAGCTGCACACAGGTGAGCATGCATACCCATTCACTCATTCATTCAGTATATTTGACAAATATGTATACACCATTAGGTGCAAGGCAGGTACTGGGGCTCCAGTGTAGAACAAAGACAGGCCCTTTCCCTCATGGAGCTTATGTGTGTATGTGTGTAACAAACACACACATGCATTTACACATACACAAACTGTTCATGCACCAGAATGCACAGTCTGTAGCAGAGTTAATTAGTACAGTCACTGTAGTGGTTTGTTCCAGAAGACTTAGGTGGTCTTGTGTTTTCCTCTCTGTAGATCCTCAGCACTCTTGTTAAAGGGACACACAGACCTGTGACCTGCAAGATTCGCATCCTGCCATCGGTAAGGATGGTGTGTTACATTTGAAGGTGATGTTGGATTTGGGTTTGTGAATGATTTTTGAGGTGTTAAATTAGCCTTGGAGGAGAGAATGGGGTTGAGCCTACTTTAGAAGCCAGCAGCTGCTCCTTCCAGGAGCTTCAGTAACCCTTCTGTGTGATCCTCTTCCTCAGCTAGAAGATACCCTGAGCCTTGTGAAGCGGATAGAGAGGACTGGCATTGCTGCCATTGCGGTTCATGGGAGGTGAGTGGTCACCTTTCTAGTGACTGACTGCCAGGGAGATCCTCACCCATCTTAGTGATCCTTCCTTAATTGATCTGTCACCCCAAGTGACAGCCAATTTCTGTTTTACATATTCAGCCTACCTCTTCCTAGCTCTTTGACATCCTATGAGTCTTGAGAGCAGGCAGACCGTGAATGGGCTTGCATTTGCCTTTGTTTCATTCATGGAGTGCCTGTTGTGGGTAGGTACTGAGGTTTAGAGACGCAGTGAGACTGAGAAAGGAGAAGCATCAGGATGTGTAAATGCTAGAGATTGAGTGATTTGCTCAAAATCATACCATGTAGCCAGTACATGGCGGAATTCTGACCTTCATGAGAAAACCAACCTCCCTCCCTCCCTCTTTCTCCTTCCTTCCCTCCCTCTCTCCCTCCCTTCCGTCCATGCTTTTTCTTCTTTCCTCTCTCTCTCTCTCTCTTTCTGTCTCATTGGAGTCTCACTCTGTTGCCCAGGCTAGAATACAGTGGCATAGTCTTGGCTCACTAATCTCTATCTCCTGGGTTCAAGTGATTTTCCTGCCTCAGCCTCCCGCGTAGCTGAGATTACATGTGTGTTCCACCATGCCCAGCCAATTTTTGTATTTTTAGTATAGACTGGGTCTCATCATATTGGCCAGGCTGGTCTCGAACTCCTAATCTCAGGTGATCCACTCACTTCAGCTTCTCAAAGTGCTAGGATTACGGGAATGAACCACTGGGCCCAGCCTCAATTTCTTTCTGTTATATTGAACAATGACTTCTCCCTTGATAATCATAGACAGATTGCTGTGTTGATTTGCTTTTCATTGTTGTTTTTTGAGACAGTCTTGCTCTGTTACCCAGGCTGGAGTGAAGTGGCACAATCATAGCTCACTGCAGCCTTAAATTCCCAGGAGGATGGGCCTACCCTGTGTCAGGTGCCTCTCCCTAGGATCAGTTGTGCATCTTGGCTTTGGCATTGGCAGCTGTGTGGGAGTGGCCAGTCTGAGCAGCAGCTGTTCTGGGAACAGCAGCTGTTCTCAGTCCCTTGGAGAGGGCAGGACTGGAACAGTAGGGGCAGCACTCTTATGGCCCTGTCCTTCTTCTCTGGCAGAGGCAAGGGGAAGGCAGCAGGGCAAAGCAACACGACCTTGGGAGCTAGGCCACCCACCTCGCCCCCTATGCAGCCAGGCCTCACCTGCAGTCCTCCAAGAGCTGGACTTGCCATCTCAGCATCGAGCTGTGCTGCTCCTGCCCATCACAGTTCTTCTCCAGAGGTCAGGGAGAGCCATCCCCTGCCGCCTGTCTTTGATGGCCACATGGCCACCTGGCCTTCCTGAGGTTCAGTGGGAAGGACAGTAAGGTTTGGCTGAGGTAACCATGTGTGAATGGTGACATGGCTTTTGGTGCTCAGCCCTCAGCCCTCAGCCCATCTCTCTATCTCCAAGGAAGCGGGAGGAGCGACCTCAGCATCCTGTCAGCTGTGAAGTCATCAAAGCCATTGCTGATACCCTCTCCATTCCTGTCATAGCCAAGTAAGCCCCCTTTCTTCATCATGTACTCTGTGTCTCACAGAGCTAAGGGCCTGGTGGTAGCCAGGCCCAGCCTTCCCTAGAGTGAAACATTTTGGGGTGGTTTGGAAAGGACACAGCTTCCCACAAGACCCCAGACCCTGTTGCTTCAGCTGCCACCTAAGACCCTCCCCTCTGCATGCCTGTCTCTGGACTGCGGCTGCCACCTGACTCCTGATAAAATGTATGGAGACGGAGCAGGGGGTTCTTGGAGCAGCAGGCTGCGGGGAGGGCAAAGTAAGACCCAACTGGGCCTCCTTCCTTCCTCTCATAATCACCAAGGTGTCTGTTCCCCTCGCCAGGGTTTTGACTTAGCCCTCAGAGAACATATAAGTGGCTCATTCAGCTTGGGGGTTTTCCTGTAGCCCCAGTAGCCCAGTAATAGACCCATGTCTCCAGATGTGGGCTGGCTGTAGCCACTGTTTTAGATGAGGGGCAAGAAAAGTAAATTTCCTGGATTACCTGTTAAGTGCCTGGCACTTTACATATATTATCTCAGTTAGTGCTCCTAACTTCATAATGGGATATGGATTCTTTTTTTTTCCCCCCCCCCCCCCTTTTTTTTCTTTTTTTTTTCCCCCCCTTGCCCCAGGATATGGATTCTAATCTCCACTTTATTGAAGCTCTGATAGCTGAAGGGACTTGGCCAAATTCACATTGTTAATCAGTGGCAGATCTGAGAGTTGCCTTTTTCTGAAAATGCTGATAGGTTCCATGACCGGGATACCCCTAACCCTCCTGTTGCTTTTCAGTGGAGGATCTCATGACCACATCCAACGGTATTCGGACATAGAGGACTTTCGACAAGCCACAGCAGCCTCTTCCGTGATGGTGGCTCGAGCGGCCATGTGGAATCCATCTATCTTTCTCAAGGAGGGTCTGCGGCCCCTGGAGGAGGTCATGCAGAAATACATCAGATACGTACGTCTCTGTACTTCAAAACAAGCATTTCTCACTGTCTACCACATCCCTGCAGAGAGCACTTTGTGTGAACCCCCAGCGCTTGCTGTTCCTCTCCTTTTCTTTTTAGCTCAGGTAGTGAAGCTGTACTAGCTCACTGCTGTATTGGGTCTCCCCAGCTGTGGTGCTAAGAGAGGATGCTGGGGGGCATGCCCCTACCATTTCCTAAAGCTTCCAGAGGTTTGCAGGTCACAGCAAGGACCTTCTAGATCCAGGATACTGTTGGAGCCCCAAACACATGATATATATCTTTCTTTTTCTTACATGCTGCACATACAAAGGCACATTCACTTGGACTTTGGGTTCTGCATCACTGAAGGCATGTGTGCCTATAGGTTGGCTCAGGAGCAGCCACGGCCAGGACGAGCCATTGAGAAATTTCTCACCTGATTTGATTCATCTGTGAAAATCACTTCTAAAATTTTTCTATTGTTGATTCCCCAAATGCTTTAACCATAACCCTCTATTTAGGGAACAACTTTTTTTTGAGATAGGGTCTTGCTCTGTTGCCCAAGCATGAGCATAGTGGCATAATCATGACTCACTGCAGTCTTGACCTCCTGGACTCAAGTGATCCTTCTGCCTCAGCGTTCCAAGTAGCTGGAACTACAGGCATGTGCTCACACACTCAACTAATTTTTTATTTTTATTTTTTTTTATAGAGATGAGGTCTTTCTATGTTGCCCAGGCTAGGATTGGCCTTTTCTAAACCACTTTCTTCTTATTGAGAGGTCGATGGTAGTGCCATGACATTTCCCTATAAAAGAAATGAAGAGTTGACTTGCTTTGTCTCTTTGGCACAACTCTGGAACTCTGTGGGACTATGATCAGCTGCACATGTCTACAGGAAGAGGCAGTGAGTGGTCCTGAAATTCTTCAGTGAATTGAGTCGAGCAGAGGGTACAGCCATTGCCCAGAGCAGAGTTCCATCCTTCTTCAGTCCTGGGGTTCATTCCTGCCTGGGAGTACCTGTGGCTGCCATGGTATGTGAGTGTTCCCATGGATGTGCAAGCTGGGATGATGGTAAGATGCTCTGAGATCCATGTCCAGAGCTGGGCAGCCTTTGTCCTATCTCCTGTTTAATGCTGTAGCCCTCACCCTTGGTTCTGGTGTCCTGCTGGGCAAGTTGGTGAACCACCAGCTCTCCAGTGGTCTGGGATAGCTCCATGGCAAGGGAGGGCTTGCCCCAGCCCAGGTCAGCTGTCCAGCTTTTTGGCCAGCTGGCAAGTCTATGGCCAAGAAGATGTGCTGAGCAGTGCTGAGCTTGCTCACTGGGTGAAAGGTGATGTTATCATTCCTGCTGAGCCATCCCTTGGCAGCTCCTCAAGAGGGTGTGTTATCACAGATAAAGGGAGTGGCTTTCAAGCATAGGCAGGGCTGCTTCTGGTCCAGCCAGGTGCCTTCTTCCCAAACAAGCTGAATCAAGGACTTGCCGCCCCCAGCCGGGGCTTCCCCACTTACTTCCCACTTTGTCCCGAGCATGCTGTGACACCTTTCCAGGCACTGAAGTCATAGGCCCAGGTGGAGTTACTAGAGCAGCATGGGGGTGGGGGATGGGAGGGTGTCCTGGAGGGCTGGGGAAGGCCACCTTCACCCACCAGTGCTCTCCTGCCCTGCCCCCAGCCAGCCAGCTTCCAGTGGGTGTCCCTGGCAGTCATCTTGCCTCCCCGAGCCTTCGTTTCATAGTCTGTGGAGTGATGGTGACAGTTACACCCCACACTTGTATAGATAAATGTAGTGATGAGTAACACATGTGAACTAAATGGTGCTGTGCTTTACCAATGTAGAGGGAAGTTAGAGGCCATTCAAGATGTAGAAGGGAAGGTGTCCTTTCTGGTGAGAAGGAATAGAAGAATCTCACCGCTGTCCTGGCACTGGGCCTGCCATGCCAGAATTTGGTGTGTTTCTCTTCCTTACCCTGGAAGATACTTGGCAGTAGGTCCTCTGTGGTGGCTGAAGTAGGAGGAGGCTTTGGCATTTTGGGACCCCAGTTAGGCTGTCCAGGAGAGTGTGCGCCTGACCATGGGCCTTGGCTGTGATCCTAAAGCTTTGTACTACTATCTGGAGAAGTAGATGGCCAAGGTTGGGGTGACTCTATTTTTTTTGTCGTTTGTTTAGAGAAAGGGTCTTGCTCTGTTGCCCAGGCTGCAGTGCAGTGGCATGATCATAGCTCACTATAGCCACAAACTCGTGAGTGCAAGCAACTCTCTTGCCTTAGCCTCCCTAGTAGCTATGACAGTAGGTGTGTGCCAACATGCCTGGCTAATTTTGTTTTTAATTTTTGTAGAGTTGAGTCTTATGTTGCCCAGGCTGCTCTTGAACTCCTAGCCTCAAGCACTCTTCCTGCATTGTTCTCTCAGAGTGCTGGGATTACAGATGTGAGCCACTGCTCCTGGCCAGTGGTGGTTCTTCTTATGGGGGTCCCATTGCCTTGGCTGCACACGCAAATCTGATGCCTTCTTGGAACCCCTTTCCATGCCATCAGAGCATAGCTCAGGCCTTAGAGCCTGCCTGGGCATCAGGTGAGTCATTTCTTCTCTCAGGCGGTGCAGTATGACAACCACTATACCAACACTAAGTACTGCTTGTGCCAGATGCTACGAGAACAGTTGGAGTCTCCCCAGGGAAGGTTGCTCCATGCTGCCCAGTCTTCCCGGGAAATTTGGTAAGAGGCACGAGATGTCCATCTGTCCTTGTGTACATTGCCCAGGTTTGACTTTGAGCCCTAAGCTGACTCCACTAGGGGACCAGGGACACAGCTTCTGGATGTGGATGTAGAGGAGTGGAGTGATGGTATAGCTTTGCCTCCCAGAAGAGGATTCTTTGAAAGCTTTGAAGTGTCCCCTCCCTGGACGGATCAGCAGAGTTCTGGGAACCAGGGCACTAGGAGGATAGAAGAATGCAAAGGAAGGGTCTTTCCATAAATGGGATGGTCACAGGCCAGGCCACCAGGAACCAGTGGTCAGAAGAATTGGGCTGTAGAATGGAACCTCTGGCTTGAGCCTGCAGTCACACCCATAACCCTACAGTTTGAGAGGCCACCCTTTGGTCCTCTAGATCAGGTGCAGCTCTAGCTCATATGGTTGACACGTAAGGCCCTTCACAAGCTGGCCTAGCCACTACTCCCACAGCTCCCTGTCTACCTGTCTGCTTCCAGACCTCCACACCTGTGTTTGTAATGGGTCCTCTGCCTGGAAGGCTCTCTCCCTCTCACGTGAGTGATCTATAGCCTCCCTCTTTCATAGATGCCTTTCTGAACCACTTTTGCCATCAAGTATCCATCTTCGCTTGAGTCTTCCAGCCCTTAAGATGTTTCCTAGAAGGAAAAAACCCTTGCTAGAACCCTCCTTCCACCCTTGGCTTATGGCATTGGTTTAATCCCTACCCCACATAGCTTAATCAGTTTGACCCAGGTGCCTTGTAAGCTCAAGAGAAAAAGTATAACTCTGTAGCTCTGGGTGGTACCTCAGTGTCAGATGAAAACCATGTATAACTGCTCGTGGCTAGGCAGGAAGTGGGGAACCACTCAGTGGTCAGGCCTCTGTCTCTTCCTCCCATGGGCCCATGTGCTTGATCAGCATTGGTCAACTCAGTCATGGCTGGCTGGGGACATCATCTGTGTGCTCCTCCTCAGGAGAGAGACTGCAGGTGGTGGGGGTGACCTTTACAAACTTGCTACCCAGCCCAGCTTCCCTCCAGTGTCTACACTTGGGTTCACATTCACTTTCCATCTTCTAGTCCAGGGTGATCCCAGGGCTGGGCAGGAGGCACATTCTAATGGCCAGGCCCCAGTGGTGGTGTGGTGTATATGGTAGAGGAGTTGCTCAGTGGTGGGGCCCTGGGTTTCTGCAGTAGCCTGGATGCTGGCTCCACTGAAGTGTTTGCCCTGATCTGTCTCTTCCTCCTTAGTGAGGCCTTTGGCCTTGGTGCCTTCTATGAGGAGACGACACAGGAGCTGGATGCCCAGAGGGCCAAGCTCTCAGCCAGGACTTCAGAGGAGACTGGGGAGCCAGCTGAAGATACCTCTGGTGTCATTAAGATGGCTGTCAAGTTTGACCGGTAGGTCTCCAGCTTGGCTTCAGCTTGGGCTGGGGCCAGCACCCTTGGGGTTCACTAGGCCAGCAAACTGTCTGCTATATGTGCTTAATGTCAAACGTAGGGACCACAGGTCTTCTTGGTTTGGAAACTTGTTCTTAATTTGCAGCATCCCATAGAAGGTGCTTACAGGGACAATAGTTCCTGAAAGCCTATCCCAAGTTCAGTGTCTGAACTCTACTTTTCCCCTAACTCACTCCCTCCCACAACTTAGGGCAGGGGGAACTTGTCTCCTGTTCCTGAAAGTCTGTGCTTTTCCAGGGCCTTGAGGAGCTGGCTGCTGCATGGAGCTCCTCAACAGCAGAAGGACCCTAGCCCTCATTTGGCTCTGCAGCCCCTGCCCACAGCCCTGTGGCGCCCTTTCAAGCTGCTTATGCCTCAGATGGTGACCCAGCTTTGAATGGTGCCCTCTTCTGGGATCTGAGCCTTTCTGCAGTCCCCAGGACCAGACAGGAGCCAGTTTTGTCTGGCAGGGGTGTGGGGGTTTGGGGCGGTAGGGATAGCTGTTGGGCAGTCAGATGGCAGGGAGAGTTCCAGCTGGGAAGTTGGAATATGGCCCTTCCTACCGTGTCACTGTGTTACCTTGTCACAGACTGACTCTGAAACCAGATTCCATGTGTCCGTGGCCTCAGCAGATGATCCTGACCCTTGGCAGGAGTAATCAGGGTGGACTCTGAGCAAGATCCCCGAGACCATTGTCTGGTCACCTCCATTGCCCACTTCCACCCACTCCCTACTGATCTTGTCTTGAGTGTCAGGCTTCCTTCTCAGATGTTGAAGATTATTTTTCCAGGCTGGACCTCAGAGTATTGGGAGTTCATTCTCCCTTTTCCCCACAATTTCTCAAATATGCCAAAATTTATTTTCCCTTTAAATAAAACCCAGGTCCAAGCTGCTGGGGGGACAGGAATGGGAGCCTATGGGAGTAGGTATAGAAGCCTTAAGGCAGCAGCTTGGTATCTCAGTTCCTCTAGTTTCTGCTGCACCTATCAGGGGCTGAGTAGTGCGCTGACTGAGGGAGTGGTGATGGTGGGTGAGCCCCACCTGCTTCCCTTCCTTTCCCCAGGAGAGCATACTCAGCCCAGATCACCCCCAAGATGTGCCTGCTAGAGTGGTGCCGGAGGGAGAAGTTGCCACAGCCCATGTATGAAACGGTGAGTTCCTGGCTATGTCCTGCCCTGCAGCCAGCTATGGCGCTCCCACAGCTTATGCCCTCAACTTGCCAGGCTAGGGCCTGGCCTTGCCCTCTGTAGGCATGGAGAAACTGCTGGTGTCCAGTTCAGTTGCTGATAGCCCCACTCTCTTATAGTGGCCTATTGTCCAATTCAGCCAGACATGTCTTTTTTTTTTTAAATCAGAGTCTAATTAGTTTTTTTTTTTTTAGAAATATGGTCTTGCTTTGTTGCCCAGGCTGGTCTCAAACTCCTGTGTTCAAGTGGTCCTCCCTCCTCAGCCTCCCAAAATGCTGGGATTATAAGGCATGAGCCAGCCAATGTTAATTTTTTAAAAATTTTATTTAATTGATTTTTTTTTTTTTTTTTGGGACAGAGTCTCACTCTGATGCCTAGGCTGAAGTGCATTAGCATGATCTCAGCTCACTGCAACCTCTACCTCCCAGTTCAAGCAATTCTCCTGCCTTAACCTCCCAAGTAGCTGGGATTACAGGCACACACCACCATGCCTGGCTTATTTTTTGTGTTTTTAGAACAGACAGGGTTTCACCATGTTGGTCAGGCTGGTCTCAAACTCCTGACCTCAGGTGATTCACCTGCCTTGGCCTCCCAAAGTGCTAGGATTATAGGCATGAGCCACTGTGCCCGGCCCAGACATGTCTTTGAATCAGACCTCAGCCAGTGGAGCACAAAATTGGGCCCCAGATGTGGTGCCCTTGGGGTGGAAACCGTGAGATAGTCTTGCTTCACTTCCTTTGGTCTTCATGGCCTTGCCTTCCTTAGGCTGCTCTGCCTCATCTGGAATCATCTTCTGGCCTCAAGGCTTATACCTCTGGGGGTTGTGTCTGTTCTCCTGCCATAGTGACTTTTCCAAAACAAATCTAACCTCTGTTTCCTCAAGTCAGCAGCTCCCCAGGTGTCTGTAGAATCAAGCCAGCACCTCAGCACACAGCCTGAGACCCTCCCATGTGCCTCTCTCCTTCCAGTTTCATGCCCGAAGCCCTTTGCCCCAGCCATGTCACCTGGTCCCTCTGCCAGGTGTGCCTTCTCTGCTCTTAGCTTGTTCCTTCTCACCCTTTTGGCATCTGGTGACTCCTTGTTTTGGGGACCTGGCCTATCCAGCTGTCAGCAGGAGGCTCTGTAGTCATGTGTAGCTAAAGGCTCTCCTGGCCTTTGTTCAGGTCCATGACAGCTCCAGATGCTTGAGGTCGTTGTCTATTTGTACATGTGCCTTTCTGCACTGGACACTTTTGCTTGGGAGGAGCATGTGATATAGGCAGCCTTCATTTGACTTAGGTTGGAAATACTTCCTTTTATCTGCCTTTAATTTGACCCCAGCAGGTTGGCTTCCAGAGCTCATTTCTCAGGCCATGTGTTTCCTTTAATCTTTGTACCAGGTTCAACGCCCTATAGACCGCCTGTTTTCTTCTATTGTCACCGTTGCTGAACAAAAGTATCAGTCTACCTTGTGGTAAGTTTCCTCATCATAGGGAAGGAGGCTTGGGGTGGGGAGGAGAGTGGGCATTCTGCCCATTGTCCAGCATTGTCATAGGAGGGTTGGGCAGATGGTATATGTGGGCAGTGGCATCCCTGGAAGGTGACCCCTTACTCAGTTTTGTCAGAATCTGCCAACGGTGTGTAGAGTCAGGCCTCACAGCCCTGCACCCTGCCTACATGCCTTATTGCCCTCTGCTTCATCTGCCCAGGGACAAGTCCAAGAAACTGGCGGAGCAGGCTGCGGCCATCGTCTGTCTGCGGAGCCAGGGCCTCCCTGAGGGTCGGCTGGGTGAGGAGAACCCTTTCTTGCACAAGCGAAAGAGGGAGGCTCCTGACCAAGACTGTGGGGGCTCCAGAGCTCAGGAGCTAGCACAACCTGGGGAGCTGTGCAAGAAGCCCTTTGTGGCCTTGGGAAGTGGTGAAGAGAGCCTCCTGGAAGGCTGGTGACTACTCTTCCTGCCCTAGTCACCCCTCCATGGTCTGGTGCTAAGGTGGCTGTGGATACCACAGCATGAACCAGATGCTGTTGAACAATTTGCTGGTCTTGCCTGGCAGGAGGTAGATGTCCCAGCAGGGGCTATCAGCCTGAAGCATGGACCTGGGGCCGCCCAAGGGTGTATCCTGGCTCCTTTGGTGGATCTGAGTGACAGAGTCAAGTTCCCCTTGAAAACAGGAGCTTTTCAGGTGGCACCTCCCCAACCTGACATTGGTATTGTGCAATAAAGACACCCCCTACCCTCACCCATGGCTGGCTGCTTTAGCCTTGGGCATCTTCATAAATGGGCTTGTGTCTTGGCATGATTATTCTACTCCCACCCTCTGTGCAGAGCTAAAGCTTCCAAAAGTCTATCTCCTGCCCATCTCTCTGGGTCTGGTGGAAGTGGGAAATGGGGTATCACTGGACTGGAGCCAAGCCAGGAAGGCCCAAGAAGCTCATTCTACTGACTGTACACCTAAGGCACTGGGCACCAATTGTCTGTCCTGATGAGAGGTGAGATGGGATCTGGAGGAAGGACCAGGACAACTGGTGCCCCAGTAAGGGACTAGTCCAGTGGGGTGGAGAGTGTTGGTCTGATCCCTAGAGTCTCCTTTAAGCCTGACAGCTGCCTGGAGCTCAGACTTGATGAGGTACCTGCCCTGGGCAGTGGGGCACCGGAGGCTGCTGATGACAGCAATTTGGGGCCCTTATGTTTGGCAGATCACACCACACAGTCCCTCCCGTCCCCCGCCTTCCTCATCCCACTTGGGGCGGAAGGAAGTGGCAGATTCTCTTTAATTTCCTCCTGGCAGTGAGAAGCAAACAAACGGCTACCGCATCTCATGGGGCCTCCCCCGCTTACTGGGAGGGGCGTTCTGACCAAAGGTCCCTGCCCTATCCTGCCCCCGCTTCCTCAGCTGTAAACATGCTGCTTCTCATCCCTTTTTCCAGGTTGTATTGGTGTGGTGAGGAGGGGAGGATTCCCCTCTGGGTCAAGGCTGTATCTCCCACATCTCCCCTGTGTCAGAGCCTCACTGTTTTGTGGCAACTTAACAGGATCAGGCACCTGTGCCAGCCAGCAGCCCCTGCCCTGCTGGCCTCTGAGTCAAGGGTTTGGTGGGTGAGGCCTCTGTCTCAGTCCCAGCACTGCCCCCCTCCCCCCTGCCACCCACGCTTGCCTTTCTGTGTGCAGATAAGGATACCACACTACCCGCTGCCTCCCAGAGCCATTGCTGTTTGACCTTGGGCAACTCACTTTGACTCCTCTCTGTCCTGAGGGCCCTCCTCTAAGAAGGGATCATCTGTCCTCTGCCTGTGTGAGGCTGACTGGAGGACAATAGGCTGACCCTTTGATAGGACATTGCATGGTTAATGGGGTCACACCATGCAAGGGTGCCCTAACTGACTTCCCAGACCAGTGCTCCCAGAGAAAGGGCTCTACCCAGGAGAAAGACCGAGGCTTGGTCCAGTCTCAGTCACCAAGCTTTAGGCACAATTTCTTTCTTTCTTTCTTTTTTTTTTTTATAGAGATGGGGTCTCACTATGTTGACCAGGTTGATCTTGAACCCTTATCCTCAAGCAGTCCTCCCACCTCGCCCTCCCAAAGTGCTGGGATTACAGGCATGAGCTATTGCATCTGGCCTATTTCTGATTTTTTCATCCTAAAAGCAATCTCAGTCAAAATGCCTCCTTTGGCTGGGTGTGGTGGCTCACAGCTGTAATCCCAGCACTTTGGGAGGCTATGGTGGGCAGATCACTTGAGCTCAAGAGTTCAAGACTAGCCTGCTGAGCAACATGCCAAAACCCTGTCTTTACAAAAAATATAAAAATTAGCTGGGTGTGGTGGCAGGTGCCTATAGTCCTAACTACTCAGGAGGCTGAGGTGGGTGGAACTCTTGAGCTCAGGAGGTTGAAGCTGCAGTGAGCTGTGATGACACCACTGCATTTCAGCCTGGGCGACAGAATGAGACCCTGTCTCAAAAAAATATAAATGAAAAACAAAACAAAATGCCCCTTTGCCTTTTCTTATACTCCAACTGGAACTGGTCAGACAGAAGCTGCAGTAGCCCCTCCCAAGTCACTGAGTCCTAAGATATATCTCCCGTGTGGAACTGGGCTTTGATTTCAAGCCACTTCTCCCACCAGTATGGTTTCCCTGGGGAAACCCCTCCTCTGGCAGGGTCAGGTTCATTTCTGGGCTCTGGGGAAGGAGAGGCAGGGATATAGGTATGCTATTAAGATAGAGGCTGGAATGTGGGGCTTTGAGGGCCCTGGGAAGCACTAGGGAAAGAATCCTTTATAGAGGAGGAAGGTGGGGCAGGTCTAGTATATATTCTGTGACTGAGGATGTCTGGCAGGGATCCTCGTTGAATATGTTGGTCCTCAAATAATCTCATGTTAGCACACCTCAGTGTTGTCTTTCCTGGTCTCAAAGTGACCTGCTCAAGGATGAGACTGACTGGGGGGAGGGACAGTCAGGCCTGAAAGCCTTGTCCATTGTTGTCACCATGTCCACCTTAAATTAGGCCACTTAGACTCCCAAACCTCTCCCTGGGCTAGTAGCCACAACACTTACTCATCCATTCCAGCTAGCTTGATTGAGGATTTCCCCTTAGCTCATCACGTTTGGGGGTCAAATGGTTTTGATATGAGCATAAGAGGGAGGGATGAGTAAGGGTGGAGAGAGTGGCAGGTTTCTCAAAGGCCACAGCAAAAAACTGGGCTGTGTGCAAAGAATCTCTTCCACTTGCAGTCCTGAACCCTTGGGTCCTTCCAGGTGTTATTCTGCTCAGAACTCTTTTGTGGCTCCTGAGACTGCTCTCTGGACCAAGTTCAAACTCCTCAGCCTGGTATTTGAGGACAAAGTGCTGACCATGTCTTCTCAGCACCCTGTGCTGACTTCAGCAACTAACTTTCTGTGATTGTAGTTAGCTGGTCTTATCCTCTCCTCCCAGATTGGGAGCTGCTCAAAGGCAGTCCTGTGTCCCCTATGGCCACCTTGGCATGGGGCTGGGAGCAGACACAGAAGAATCCAACAAAAGCTTGGGGCAAGAGGGATGTTTGGCATGGAGAGGAAGTTTTTTAAACTCTGAATTTCTTCAAAGTCTCCTGTTTTGCCTAATGTGGAACAAGGGACTGGGGTAGGCTAAATTGTACCTTCCCATGGCTCAGAGGGCACTGAAGAACTACAACAATGGGTGCTTAGGGTCAATCCTGTGACAGCTGATGATAAAGATGGCTTTCCCTAATTCCCAGGCTTGGCTAGCATTCATACAGGGAGAGTGGTTTCATGGTGATTCACATAGCCCTTGTCCACCCTGGGGTTCTACCTACTGCACTGGTCCTGTGGGCCTCCTGGTTTCACAGGGCTCTCAGAGGGCTGGAGGTGGGCCCAGATGACCTGCAGGAGCTTTGGAACTGCCTGAGGAAGAGCTCATGGGGGGATGTCCTGGTCTTAGCTGGGGCAAAGGGCTGAAAAAGTATGTATATATCAGTATGTGTGTGTGTGCGCAGGCCCCTTCACAGCCTGCAGAGCTCCCAGCCATTGCTGAATTTCTTACACACACGGGGACTCTTCCTGCAGTTGGTGCCAATCCCTGTCCCAGCCCTCACCATTCCTTGGTAGCTTCTCAGTTTACCCCAGGCCAGAAACCGTCCCTACAATGTAACCTTTTCTAAGGGTTCTTCGGTGCTCAGTGGCTGGGAACACAGATGCATAGCTGAGCATTTGATGAGTGGGTGAATTTTTCAAGCCATCTACACCTTCTCTGTGGTTTCTTTTTAGTGGAGGGGCTGACCGGCCCAGGATCTCCCTCCTGCCTGCTGTCTGGTCTGATTATGGCTGATCCCATGGTTTAGGTGAAGTCATATCTGCAGGGACTTCAAATGAGCGGGCCAACCCTCTGGGACCTTTTACTATATCAGGATCCTGTTACATATGGTACAAATAGGTGGGCCAGCAACCTGCTTGAGGCAGAGGGCTCCAGAGCTAATGTGGCATTTGGGCCCCAAGTTCCACACTCAGGCCCTCAAGGTTGTGGATTTGCAGGCAGGACAGGTTATTGGGAAGGATGTTCCATTCACCTAATGCTCGTTGTTCCCTCTCCTTCACCACTATTATCTTCTCCCTCTAACGTCATTCACCCTTGCCCCAGTTAAATCCAGTGATCCACCCAGAATTCTGGCCATGTAAATCCCCTGCTCTAAGTCCTTCCACGGCTCCCTACTGCCGTCAGCATAAAGTTCAGACACTTTGCAGTGGCCTGCAGCATTCTGCCCACTCATCCGGCCCCACCTTTGGCTTCTGCTCACTGCAGGTACTTTCTGGTCTCCAAGTCTTTGGAAATCTGTTCTCTGCCTGGAATGAAACTTGCTCCCTTCTTGCCTGTCTCTCCATTCCTACTCACCCCTGTCAAGGCCCTGCAGCCGGCAGGCTTATGAATGGTCTCTGAGTTCTGGCACAACCCTCATTTCTTTGCACAGTAATTATAGATTTGCTGGTCCCCTTTCCTTTACCCCTGAAGGGAGACTTAATTTATTAATTTATCTCTGAATCCCCAGGAACAGCCCAGGTACTGGTACAGAACACTGGGCGGAAATGAACAAATCCAAGATGAACGTCTTGGATGCTCTGGACTTTCCCTGTCTTCTAACCTAAAGTCTAGTTTGGCACCCTCTAGGGCTCCCTGGTAGCTCAAGTGTCAGTCCAGACATTGAAACCTCTGCAAGAGGTTTCCCTTTACCCTCTCTTCCCACTGGCTTTTGTGGGTAGTGTGGAAATGTGGCCTGGAGAGTGGCATTTCTTCTCTTTTTAACAACCTATTGTATCCTGAGAGGGCAGTATTTCTTGGGCACACGTGCACCCAAGCCTCTGACAGCTCCCTGGGTTCCTCCAGCAACACGCCTCTAGAGATGCTATGCCCTGTAGGCCTTGTGCCTGGGGCATGGAGCTAGGTGAGGCGGTCACCCTGCCTCTCTTACCTCCCTGTCCACCTTGTGCCTCAGTGGAGCCTTAGGTAAATAAGCCAGGCTCCCAGTCCCCAAGGATGGCCTCCACCACAGACCCCAGGAGGAGGCATCTTGGGCCATCTTGGGAAGGCAAGCTTGCCTGGGAGGGGCAAATCATGAAAACGGTTATTTAGGTAGTGTCACTTCCTCTTCACTGCCAGCCACCCAATTTGGGCTGCTCCATCCTTCCCTCTTTCCTTTTTTTTTCTTTTTCTTTTTCAAGACGGGGTTTCACCATGTTGGTCAGGCTGGTCTTGATCTCCCGACCTCAGTTGATCCGCCCGCCTTGGCCTCCAAAGTGCTTGGATTACAGGCGTGAGCCACCACGCCCGGCCCATCCTTCCCTCTTTCATGGATATGCACCAGGATGCAGAGATCACAGAGCCGTGATTGGCGCGAGCTCACCACGGGCTTTCCTGCTTAATCTACTCAACTTCCAGCAAGGGACAGGCCCTGCCCATCGGGCTTCGCCGAGGCCTCAAACTCGCACGCTGTCAAGGAATCAGCTGCGGGGGCTCGCTAGTGGGAACAAAGGCCTAGGCGCAGGCTCCGCCCCGCAGAGGGTGGGCCTGCGGCGACCGCGAGCTCAGACTCCCGACCCATAGAGCAACCTATTTTCTTCTGTTCCGCCTCAGCCTAGCTGGACTCGGTCTGTTCCCCGCCCTCTGGAGAGTCAGACATTAAAGTTGAGGTGAGGGGGATGACGATGTGGGCGGCGTCCAGGTAAACCAGCCGGGCACTGATGCCTTCCCTAAAGCCAGCCATTAGGAGTAACACGACGCGATCCCACATCACCGAACCCAGAACCTCAGTGCTTCGGCACCCCTTCCTCGTCATGAGCTCCGCCCAATGAGGAAGGGGGTCGTCTCCCATTGGCGGGTGATGGTCCCCTATCCAAGAAGAGCAATCGGCCTTATACCCCAGAGTTTAGAAGGAATCGCCGTGGGAATACAGGCCAAACTACAATTCCCGAGGGGTAGCTGGGCTCTTTGGGCCTGCGTGTTCACGTGACTTCCTTTTCCCGGAGACCGAGATACGCGATAGGCCAGTGAGGGGGCGGGGCCCGGCCTCTGTTCTCCGCGCTAGTGGCCAATAGGCAGCCGGGCCGGATGGGAGCGCGTAGGGGGCGGGGCAGGGCGCGCGGCAGGGTGCGGGAGCGCGCCCGCGGCTGCGGTGGCGGCGACTGTGGTGGGGGGGCGGGGAACGTTGGCTAAGGCGACAGTGGCGGCTTAGGCACTGGCGGCGGGCGGCTGCGGCTCCTGGTGCTGCTCGGCGCGCGGCCGACTCTCTAGTTCAGAGCGGAACGCTCGGCGTCGAGGGACCCGCCCGGAAAGTTTGCTGTGGAGTCCTCCTGGCCCGCGCGGCCCGGCATGAAGCGGCGCTGAGGAGCTGCTGCCGCTGCCGCCCCCGCCGCCCCCGCCGCCGCCCCCGCCCCCGCAAGCCGCCGCCACCTGAGGAGGAGCCGCAGCACCCTGGGCCACGCCGATGACTACTGCAAACTGTGGCGCCCACGACGAGCTCGACTTCAAACTCGTCTTTGGCGAGGACGGGGCGTCGGCGCCGCCGCCCCCGGGCTCGCGGCCTGCAGGTGGGTGCCGGGCCACACGGGAAAGAAGAGCGACCCCTCTTTTCGCTCGCAGGATCTCTCGCCCCCTCCGCGTTCCCTTGGATGACCGGAGACCGATAACCCCGAGTGTGTGCGCTTGCGTGTGCGTGCGTGTGTGTGTGTGTGTGTGTGTGTGCGCGCGCGCGCCTGTGTGTGGTGAGTTGAAAACGGCTTTAAATCTCTGAGGAGGCGTGTGGGTCCCTGCGACCTGGAAGTGGTGGCGGGCTTGGCTGGAAGCAAACTAGTGGGGAACTTGACTCCGGGACGCTCGGGGTTTGGAGGCCCAGGGTCCGGGCTACTGCCCAAGTGGCGTCTGGTTGTCCCTGCTTTGCCAGTGTGTTGCAAGGAAAATGTCCCTGTAAAGTGTAAGCGCACTGGGTTTTTCATCTATTCTAGGTTGTTTCTTGAAATTTTCGTTTGAAAGATGCTTATTTTTCAACGATAGGACCCCTCTAAAAATCACGAACGTATTTAAGTCTACTTTGCTAGGAGAGTAATGCTTTCGAGTTAACGTCCACTTGTGCAAGTTTATGGCCCACAATTCGAAGTGTAACTGTAACGGGATTTTTCTGGAAACTTAATTTCCTTACTTGAATAAAGATTTTTTTAAAATAGTGGGTTGCTTTTTTCATAATGTTCCTAGAAATTCTAGAAGTTGATTTTTGTTTAAAGAAAAACTTCTTGGAAAATATTTTAAAGGAAATCTTGAATTGGGAAAGCTGGGCACCATAATGCTTGCACGTCAGACCAATCAGGAAATAGAAACAGGATGACTGGGGAGTTAGAGCTCTTTTGTGACCTGGTTTGGAATACTGTAGTTCATTAAGTTCAGTGTCCCTATTACATATGCATGCGAACTTCAAAAAGGAAACGGATAAGAGCAATCCCTATTTTTTCTTGTCTGGTGTGAGGTCAGTTCCTTAATGTTCATGTTGATGTTCAATAGACTGTTCTGGAGAGTTGCATTGTAAAACATACTTGAGTCCCGGAGTTCCCCGCTAGTTTGCTTCCAGCCAAGCCCGCCACCACTTCCACGTCGCAGGGACTCACTTGCCTCCTCAGCAATTTAAATCCATTTTTAACATACCTGGAAGTGAGGCATGAAGATCCTCTAGTTGGTACTTGTTTTATTGGTCCTTTTAGTCTTCACAGGCTAGATGTCTTTTTCAGTGTAATACATAATTCATAATAGTTATGTGTTGGCTGCGTTTATTTTAAACTTCATTAACATAATTTGAGCGCCTATTACATTGAACCACTGTTACTGATCTTGTAGTGTTACGATGATGCAGAGGACTGAGGCTCCTCGAAGAGTTTGGGAAATAGTTGGAGGAGACACATAGTCCAAGTAATAACTGTGCTGCTAGGAAGTCTGTGAATGGTGATGCATTTTATAGTAGATGAAGAAAAAGGAAAAGTGGCATTTGTGGAGAGTGTAGCATTGAAGTGTACACTTCAATATACGTAGATTATTGGGACTTGAAAGAAAAACAGCTTGTTTGAATATTTTTATTGTAAAAAAGATAATAGTTGAATGTCAGCAAACATTTATCGGGCACAAATTGATTAGAACACATTATATACCAAATATGTGATGGGTAAGGGTGTTAACCAAACATATGAATAATAAAGAAATTGAGTATAGTAATTGTATATACAACCAAAATATTGAATAACATTTAAAAGCTATGAAAATGCTTTTTAAATGGTCTTTACTATACACAAAAGCCATTTTGATATTCAAATAGGTCTAAAAGGAGTTAAAATCTGTATAACTTGATTTATAACTGAAATTTCCAAAGACAAATATCAGCAGTTTTATTTGTGACAAAAAGTCCACTTTAAAATATTCAAGCTGGCAATTTTTTTACAAGTTTTTTTCCAATATTAAGGTAAAATACATATGAAAAAACAAACCGTCTTAAAGTGAACAGTTTAGTGCATTCGGTGTTGTGCAGCTACTGCTTCTGTCTAGTTCTAAAACATTTTCATCCAAAGGAAAACTCAGCACCCATTAAACAGTTGCTCCCCATTTTCTCTTCCCTCCCCACTACCCCTAGCAGCCACCAGTCTGGAATCTGTCTCTGTGGTACCTATTCCGGATATTTTATATAAATAGGATAATATAATATGTGAACATTTGTGCCTGACGATCTCATTCCTTTCTGTGGCTGAGTAATATTCCGTCGTGTGTGTGTGTGTGTGTGTGTGTGTGTGTGTATAAAGAAACACAATTTGTTTACCAGTTGATGGACATTTGGGCTTTTTCTGCCTTTGGCTATTGTGAATAGTGCTGTTATGAACAGGTAGCAATTAATTTTGAAATTCTATTGAGGGGGATGTGATATATTCACAGCTAAGTTTTCCAAATTAATTGTTCACAAAATTAGTTTTCATTTTACTAAGCATTATTATGATTATGTAGTTTGAAGGAACAAAGTAGAATCACTGAAATGATTTTAGGATAATATATGCAGTAAAGTGGAAAATAAGAATAGAATCATTGGTAGAATTCAGATCATTGCTGGGTTGTATCAGTGTGTTTGTGGAACTCATTTTTGGATTCTCTTCCTCACTGGAATGTAAGTTCCTTGAGCGCATGGGTAGTGTCTGTAATCCTTTTCAGTTATATTATCAGTGTCTAATATAGTGCCTTTACACGGTAGGCACTATATACATATATACACACATATACACACACACGTATATATATATATACTTTTTTTTTTTTTTGAGACGAAATTTTGCTCTTGTTACCCAGGCTGGAGTGCAATGGCGGGATCTCGGCTCACCACAACCTCCGCCTCCTGGGTTCAGGCAATTCTCCTGCCGCAGCCTCCTGAGTAGCTGGGATTATAGGCATGCACCACCATGCCCAGCTGATTTTCTGTATTTTTAGTAGAGACGGGGTTTCACCATGTTGACCAGGATGGTCTCGATCTCTTGAACTCGTGATCCACCCACCTCGGCCTCCCAAAGTGCTGGGATTACAGGCATGAGCTGCCGCACCTTATATACCTTTTTTTTTTAAGGCAGGGTCTCGCCCTGTCACCCAGGCTGGAGTGCAGTGGCGTTATTTCAGCTTGCTGCAGCCTCGATCTCCAGGGTTCAAGTCATTCTGCCTCTGCCTCCCGAGTAGCAGGGATTACAGGCGTGTGCTGCCAAGCCTGGCTACTTTTTTGTGTTTTTAGTAGAAATGGGGTTTCACCATGTTGGCCAGGCTGGTCTCGAACTCCTGATCTCAAATGATATGGATGCCTCCCAAAGTGCTGGGATTACAGGTGTGGACCACTGCACCTGGCCCAATATATGTATTATTAAATAGAGATGGAGGTCTCACTATGTTGCCCAAGCTAGTCTGGAACTCCTGGGCTCTCCTTCGTTGGTCTCCCAAAATGCTGGAATTACAGGTGTGAGCCACTGCACACAGCCCCAATATTTTGTTAAATAAATGAATAAATAACGTCTAGGTTTTGAGTCAGTGCTCACTGCTTTTTTGTGGTAGAGGAAATTGATGAGAGTTGTTTCAATTCTTTGGCTATCTTGGTAATTTGGGGCTGCAGTGGTTTTACATCCCTAAAGGTTTGGGAGTACTTGTATCACAATTAAATTTCCATACAGTGAGAAGATTTTTGAAAAATAGTGAGGTGAGTGGATAGAGAGTGAGGACAAACCAAGAGCTGAATTTAGTGAATGTCCTAAGCAAGCTTGTTAAGGTGCAAATTAGGTGATGTGAGATGCCCTTAATAAAACTTGATAATGTTGTATACATTTGTGACTGATAACTGACTTTTTAAGACTATTGTTTGCAGCAGTATTTTGAGATTTTTTTTTTCACAAGAAAATTTAAGATCCTAGAGTCTTTAGATTTTTTTTTTTTTTTTTAAACAGTCACATTTAGCAGGTGCAGGGACGGGGGTAGGGGGTTGTCTACTAACTTTAGTGACACTAACGTTAATACATTCTAATAACCCACTACCATTGGATCAGTCTACCTTGTTTTTTTTTTTTAAATATAAGATGACAGTACTGTCTGATTTTTCCAGTTAAAAATGAACCATTTTGTTAATATCTAGCTCCAAATAGATGATATACCTTAGTAGTAAATAGGGAATTTTTTTTTTTTTTTTTTTTGAGACGGAGTTTCGCTGTTGTTACCCAGACTGGAGTGCTGTGGCACGATCTCGGCTCACCGCAACCTCTGCCTTCTGGGCTCAAGCAATTCTCCTGCCTCAGCCTCCTGAGTAGCTGGGATTACAGGCGTGCACCACCATGCCCAGCTAATTTTTGTATTTTTAGTAGAGACGGGGTTTCACCATGTTGACCAGGATGGTCTTGATCTCTTGACCTTGTGATCCACCCGCCTCGGCCTCCCAAAGTGCTAGGATTATAAGCGTGAGCCACCGCGCCCGGCCAAATAGGGAATTTTAAATAGGTACACGTTTAATGTATTCCATTAACATTATTTGCCTCTATAAAGGGCAGCCTCTGGTACTCTATTTTAGTATAGTGATTGTGTATCTTTAAGTTTGATGTTATAACAAATAATCTGTACTTTGCAAATTCAGAGGTTCATTTTCAGGGTTCATTACTAAATACTGACTTTCTAGTCCTGAATGAGAGTGACTGGGAGGAATGTGCTATATATACTGTGTATAGTATCTCATCTACTGCAGTTTTTTCAAAGGGCAGAAATATCTTAGATACAATATGTATTTTTGTAAGAAGTTTACTTAATTATGAGTAATTTTTTTTTTCAAATATTCCTTTAATACACAACTTTTTCGTATGTCAAGTTGAGGAACTTTTCCTAGAAGTTGTCTTAGAATTTAATCTACAATGTTTTTACTTTGTTTACTGCTTGGAGAGCTGATCCAATTTACTGTCTCTTAGGTAATTTCATTTTCTCACTTTTTTTTTTTGAGACGGAGTTTCGCTCTTGTTACCCAGGCTGGAGTGCAATGGCACGATCTCGGCTCACC